AAATTACCAACTTCAGGACATTTCTCCATTCGCGTTTGTGGTTCTCATCAAAGAGGGACACGGGAGGCAATATATCACTCATTTACAAAGCTTGACAAGCAATGCGATAGCACCTTGATTTTTCCCTCGACTACCCCTCCATCGCCCTAACGTCGCAACCATGCTTTTCTTCAGGTATGTCACCTAAGAGCTATAACTGGTTATCACCACCTTTTGGCTGGTCCTATAGCTGACATTCTACCGCTTTACAGTTTCTTCAAGACCCTCACCAACCAGACTGTCACCATCGAGCTCAAGAATGACATTCGTATCCGCGGAACCTTGAAGTCGGTCGATCAATACCTCAACATTAAGCTCGACGATGTCGACGTCCTCGATTTAGACAAATACCCTCATCTCTCCTCGGTGAAGAACATGTTCATCCGTGGTAGCGTGGTGCGATATGTCATGCTGCCCCGGTCAGAGGTTGATGTCGGTCTTTTAGAAGACGCTACGAGGAGAGGTACGTCCTGAGATACGACGGTTTCTGCCCAGCTGAGGCGATTCTCTGCACTGCCAGATTCTGGGCTTCTATCCTGAGTAACCTGTTTCATTTCTGTTGGACGGATGCTAACTGGTAGTCTGTTTGTAGAAGCCGCGAACCAAGCCGGAAAAGCTCGGTGATTGAATTCTGTATTTTCTTTTTTTTCTTCGAGGCTATCAAGCTATGACGATGCATATTGCTCAATTATCGCTCGCATGATCGCTCATAATGCGATCTCACTTTATGTTCTACGAACGAATCGAGTGCGGGCGAGTGCTAAGTTGGACTGAAGGTCGTGGTTGAGAAGTACGATACCACAAGAGGGGCGTAATAATGATTTCAACGGGCGAAAGAGCGGTTATTATATGCTTCAGTTGGCCTTCTGACAGCTGGCTTATATCCTCAATGGTGGTCGGACGCTGGAATAGCTCTCGGATTTGGAAGTGAGGGCGTCCCGAAAAGCCCCAACTAGATTAGATCTGATGATCAGGATCGTCAACCCAGGAAACACATATGCTTATTGTACACTTTCTATCAAATGGTAGTTAATCTAGTTGAATCTGACGGTGTACCTCTGTTGTAGAGCATACAGAAACCAGCGCTCCAGCCCATAAACGCACGTGACCTCGCGTCACGAAAATCAGGAATCGCCGCGCCGGCCGCGCCCTTCTGCTTGTGGCTTCTTAACCGCCAATTTCATGATTCATGACGATACGAATTTGTACGTTTCCTGAACAAGAGTGACGGGAAAGTTTCCCTGGTTCCATGTTAATTCGGAAGGCATGCCCTTGGAGCGAGGGGTCAACGAATTGCTATCGTTATAGCCACGACGACCTGCCCGCAAGACCCCGCCGATTTCCCCGAACTGCTTGCAAGTATCCGTTTGAAGATCGACAATGGCGGGCACCCAGGCGCGAAAAGGATTTACTCCATCGAAGACACCACCCGGCTCAAAGCAGAAAACGCAGGTGAAACGGAATGCGAGTCTGTTGAATTTCTTCCAGAAAGCCGACGGGCCCCCGCAAGCCACTTCTCGGCAACCTCGAATCACGCAGTTTGCAACCAAGGTCGAGCGTCCGAACGGGAGCGGTAATAGCCCAATTTCCTTACGCAGACAAGGTAGTTCGCAAGCAAGTAATACGGCTGGGAGTCTTTTTCTGGAAGATAAGAATGATTCGAAGTCGTTGAAAACGGGAACCGGTATTCCCGAATCTCGCGAGTCACGGTCGAGGACACCAGATGATATCTGGGGCGATGAGGACGGAAATGAAGATGTGACACAGCCAGAAGGTGGGAGATATAATGAGAACGGAAACTCGGTCAAACGACGAAAAGTGGACTCTTCCTCAGCGGTTGATCAAGGCGATGTTACCTGTCCGGCCAAACCTACCAAGATCCGGCAAGTCAGTGGTCCTTTTATCGATGAATCAGACAGCGAAGACGATCTGGGCGACGATATGGATGCCTTCAAGGAGGTAGACCAGGAAGCACCGAGTTTTGAGCGGACCCCGACCGGAAACGAGGACAAGAGTCCAACGAGTAGTGTTAATGTTAACCCGGCACTTAAAGAGCAACCGTCCGCTGTCGCCGCACCCTCATTGGTAAGAGAAGCCACGAGTCACGCAGGAGACGATGAATTCGCGAATTTTGACGATATAGAAGACGATAACTTCCTAGACGACGATACACTTGATCCATTTTACGCAGACGAAGATGCTGACGAGAACCCGGATTTCGTTGACTCAACTGCCATGGATGATTCCTTGGGGATCAATGATGTTAGGGAATGTTCTGGTGGTGAAGGCCCTGCATGTCCGATATGCCAGTCAGATCTATCAGGATTAAGCGAGTCGGTAAGATGCCCTGTTGGGATTCCTATTTTTTGAACCTCTACCTAATTTGTTGCAGGATGTGAGCCTGCATGTGAACGATTGCCTCGACGGGGGGCCTACGGCTAACTCAGCAGAAACACTCTCGGACGCTCCGAAGCAAGCCCTATCGCGGTCCGATAGGGCTGCTGTCCCACGACCAGCTCAACGTGACCCTTTCTCGTCAGGCGGTACAAAGTCAAAATCAGCCTTCTCGAAGATTATGGCTGGAAACGCTGAGGATGCCGCTTGGGCGACTGCAGCAGCAGGAGAGATAGCGTCTCGCGGGAAGCAGGCTTATCAACGAACTTGTCCATTCTACAAGATTCTTCCTGGTTTTTCCATCTGCGTGGATGCGTTTCGCTATGGTGCTGTGGAAGGCTGTAACGCCTATTTTCTCAGCCACTACCATAGTGATCACTATATCGGTCTCACATCGTCCTGGCGACATGGTCCTATCTACTGTAGCAGGGCTACGGCCAATCTAGTGCGCCAGCAACTCAAGGTTGACACCAAATGGGTGGTAGACCTGCAGTTCGAAAAGAAGACAGAGGTTCCTGGAACGAATGGCGTGCATGTCACCATGATCGAGGCCAATCACTGCCCTGGGAGCGCCATCTTCCTTTTCGAAAAACAGATGGGATCCGGATCATCTGCGAGAGTACAACGCATCTTGCACTGTGGAGACTTTCGGGCGTCTCCCGCACATGTGCAACATGCGCTTTTGCGTCCGGAAATAGATGACCCTACTACTGGCCAACGCCGTCAACAGAGAATTGACGTTTGTTACCTTGACACGACATATATGAGTCCTAAGTATGCGTTCCCCAGCCAGGAGGATGTCATCGAAGCATGCGCGAATCTGTGTGTCAGTCTCGACCAAAATCCGGAAGAAGGTGTCGGTCAGAATCTGTTGCAGAAGGGAAGCTCTGGTGCAGGAAATGTTATGAGCCGATTCTTTTCTGCGATGAGCGGGTCCCGTGGCAATTCGGAGAATCAGGCCGCCCGGGCTCAGGGTCGGTTGCTTGTCGTTATAGGGACATACAGTATCGGCAAGGAGCGAATATGTCTTGGCATCGCTCGAGCACTAAAAAGCAAGATATACGCCACGCCAGCCAAGAAGCGAGTGTGCGCGTGCTTAGAAGACCCGGAATTATCCTCACTACTCACTGATGATCCGGTTGAGGCTCAGGTGCATATGCAGACGCTCTTTGAGATTCGCGCAGAGACCTTGGCCGACTACTTGGACTCAATGAAGCCGCATTTCTCGCGCATTGTAGGCTTTCGACCGACGGGGTGGAATTACCGTCCGCCGGCAGGTCGAATGCTGGACAACCCGCCCGTCTCCACAGTGTTGCACTCACCGCAGTGGAAGACGTCGTTTTCGGCACGCGATCTGACACCTCAAAGAGGGAGTACCCGGGAGAGTGCGTGCTACGGGGTACCATACAGCGAACACAGCTCTTTCCGTGAGCTGACTATGTTCTGCTGCGCCTTACGGATAGGACGGATAATCCCGACCGTGAATGTGGGTAGCCGGAAGAGCCGGGAGCAAATGAAAGCATGGTTTGAACGGTGGGAGGCCGAAAAGAGGAAGAGTGGACTGTACCCAGTAGAGGGAGAAAGATGGTAAATGTACAGCCTACTGTTGATAGAGATGGACATAGCCCTGGGCAGCATAGATGACAGATCCCTCTAGTCTCTGATATATCATGTCCATATTTGGATATGGAGAATGAGACGCTCCACACCATTTAGTACTACAAGTCCTCTTAAGCGAAGTCTCTAAGCTGTAAATATGCAAAGATCTGCGATAAATTGGGAGTAGTCTGCATCATCTGCATCATCTGCATCTTCGACACACTTGGGATCAGGCATCCAGGCAGGCAGGCAGGCGATCACGCCACTTGTTCTTCCTCCTCCAAGCAATTACCTGTTGTGAACCTCCAATTACAAGACATGGCTCACACAACCAAGGTTTGTCTTAGCCATTTTTACCACTGCTGACAGGATGATTGTCAACCCCACTCTTGATACTAGCACCGAGAAGGCAAAACAGAATAACCGAGCGGTGAAGCGGTAGAAACGCCAGCGTCGGGGTCGCAGATCGGCTCGTAGCTGGCTTGGACCCAACCCCAGACTCCCGACCCCCAGATCCGTCACTTGGATAGCCTCGGGGTTTCCCCTCTTCCGGTCAATCCTTCAATCCATAAATAGACTGCATCACTGCAGTGTCTGCGACGGTTTGTTGGCAGACTAAATCATAAGCAGAGTACCATGGACTAAATTTTGGCTCTTTTTGATCGACTTGAGTCTGTCTTTGAGAGAATCCTGGCCGTTTCTTCTTGGTTTATCCTTATATACTTATCCAGATTCCTTGCGAGACGACACCTCTTGGCACGCAAAAGTCTTCCTCCGGAACAACCAAACTAGCTACCAACAAGGTTAGTCCACCACTTTTGAAGCTGTCAATGTGCGCTTAGTGGGCAATTGATTTGCAGCCCTATCAGACCATTGCAACACAGCATCTACATCGGTCGTTACTAATGGTTAAGCAATCCTGCTTAGGTCTGGCAGCTTTGCAGATTGGAATTTAGGATCGGCCCACTATGATCACCGACCTTCTCACCCCGCAGACCACAGGTTTTATCCTGTTGGGTCTGTTTGCCGCTTACTACATCCTTCCGTACCTGCAGACATGGCATCTACATGATATTCCTTCTCCGAGCTTCGCTGCATTTAGCAACCTCTGGCTGCTCCTGCAGGCCCGTAGAGGCCACCGGTTCCTGAAAGTGGACGAGGCCCACAAGAAATATGGAAAAGTGGTTCGCATTGCGCCAAAACATGTCTCCATTGCGGATGACGATGCAATTCAGGCTATCTACGGACACGGAAATGGTTTTCTCAAATCGTATGTGTAACCCCCATTGAATCTTCCGAACTTTGACTTATTTACCTTACAGCGATTTCTATGATGCCTTTGTCTCGATTCGTCGCGGTCTTTTCAATACTCGCGACCGTGAAGAACATACCCGCAAGCGCAAGACTGTCTCTCATACCTTTAGTATGAAGTCTATTGGCCAGTTCGAGCAGTACATCCACCAAAACGTCGAGCTGTTCGTTCAGCAGTGGACCAAGCTCGCCAAGCTCAACGGTAACCCCCGGTCCGGCTATGCCACCATCGACGCTCTCAACTGGTTCAACTATCTGGCTTTTGACATCATTGGCGACCTTGCCTTTGGTGCTCCCTTTGGAATGCTCGACAAGAGCAAGGATATTGCCGAGATGCGCAAGACGCCTGACTCGCCCCCCACATATGTCCAGGCTGTCGAAGTCCTCAACCGCCGTGGTGAGGTGTCTGCTACTCTCGGCTGTCTCCCCAGACTCATCCCCTACGCCAAATATCTCCCCGACCGCTTCTTCAAGGATGGCATTCAAGCCGTTGAAAACCTGGCCGGTATCGCCGTTGCCCGTGTCAACGAGCGCCTCAAGCCCGAAGTCATGGCTAAGAACACCCGTGTCGATCTCCTGTCCCGTCTGATGGAAGGCAAGGACAGCAACGGCAACAAGCTCGGCCGCGAGGAACTCACTGCCGAGGCCTTGACCCAGCTCATCGCTGGTTCAGACACTACCTCCAACACCACCTGCGCAATCCTCTACTGGTGCATGCGTACCCCCGGCGTCATCCCCAAGCTCCAAAAGGTTCTCGACAAGGCTATTCCCGACGACGTCGATGTTCCCACGCATTCCATGGTCAAAGATATTCCCTAGTACGTCCCCATTCCGTCCATTCCCTTTCCCTTTCATTACTTTGCTAACAATCATATCCAGCCTGCAATGGGTCATCTGGGAAACTATGCGCATCCACAGCACCTCTGCCATGGGCCTTCCCCGTGAGATTCCCGCGGGCAATCCCCCGGTCACCATCTCCGGTCACACTTTCTACCCCGGCGACGTCGTCTCCGTCCCCAGCTACACCCTCCATCGCTCCAAGGAAATCTGGGGCCCCGACGCCGAGGAATTCGTCCCCGAACGCTGGGATCCCGCCCGCCTTACCGCGCGCCAGAAGGCCGCTTTCATTCCCTTCTCCACTGGTCCTCGCGCCTGCGTCGGTCGCAACGTCGCCGAAATGGAACTGCTTGTCATGACCGGTACAATATTCCGGCTCTTCGAGTTTGAGATGCAGCAGGATGGACCCATGGAGACACGTGAGGGCTTCCTGCGCAAGCCTCTGGGACTGGTTGTCGGGATGAAGCGGAGGGCTGCGCATGCCTCTGTTTAAAAAAATACAAGTTGAGCAATATGATGGCTGGTGGAATCCTAGGATATGACTTGGGAGGAATTGACCATTGGATGGGGCCCGCGATAATGCAATGAATCATCTGTATTGAAATTTTTTTTTCTTTCTTCTCTCATGTTTCTATATCTTCGATTCACTTCTTTCGATGTGATCACTTGTTCATGCATTGTTGATATCTTTCGGGTTCTTCTGGTCCTCTGCATGATGCCGTTGAGCAGCGCTTCCTGCCGGTGGTGAGGGGCATTAAATAAATACCAAATCCTACGAAGCGATCAAAACTTCCCACTCAATAAGACTTGAAAGTTGTTGTCAAATTATGGATATTTTGACCTTGAAGTAGCTTCATAAAAGCATTATCGTAAGTCATCATATTATTATCATTGCCACGGGTTGCATGTCTAGCCAGGCAGGAAGAACATCAAAACCATAGAAGAACACTACGGAGCCCCCACAAACATCCCCATAGCTCAGACAAACAATTCCCACCTGTATCTAACAGGTCGCATGCTTGAGTCGACGCGCACCTGCACGGCATCAAGACCAAGTCTCGGGACCGAAAGTATGGCCATCTGGCAACTTAACCTGGATGGCCGTTCCAGAGGCATCCATGGTGTCAGCGGCGATGTTGGTACCCCACCAACTTGGGAAACTCGTGTTGGTTAACTGAAGCGCGAGGAAGATCAGGATGGTGCACAGCGCCAGGCCGACGTCCAATCCTGCTGACAAAACGTAGGTGTAGTGCATCCACCATCCACGGAAGCGGTTGCGGATGTACCTGTTGAACACAAGACCTACGATGCCCCAGCTGAGGTAGTTCAGCGGCGTCGCGGGGGGAATCAGTCCCGCACCACCGAAGATGACGGGCGCGCTGAGGTACCGGATGGGACTCTTGGGCCAGTAGCGAGCACCGATGTAGATTGCAACGGGCAAAATGGCGCCAGCGAGCCAGAACCACATGAGGCCGGAATATATCTGACCGGGAGAAAACATGCGGGAGGGGCCGATGACACCCCAAATAATGGAAGCATTGAAGAATACGCGGCCGTTGGGACAGGTGTAGCGGTTGGCCTGATCTTCGTCGCAGACTTTCGTAATCGCTCCAAGTGCCCAGTTCATCGTGCATATTTGGACGACCGAGGACCACAAACAGGCAACCAACTGTCCGGCGAAGGTCACGCGGGGCGGGAGCTTCATGTAGTGGCCTAGGTTGTACTCAAGTCAGCCCTATGATCGTGCTAATTCGACGACTCTTCTGTTTTTGATAAATGACATACCTAGTTTCATGTCCTGGCAAAAGTACAGACCTTGCGACATGGTGATGTACCCGTAGGTCTTGAACAGCATCATGGCCATAGGGCGTCCCGGCTGCATGTAACCGATGATGAACTCCGTAATGACGTTCAGTCCGATCTGAATGTTGGTCGTTGCCTGCACGAGACCAATGGGCACAAACCACACAGCGGCGATAATCAAGGAGACGAAAAAGGCCCACCAGCTCAAATGAGTTGGATAGCCCAGTGCAACGCCTAGACCCATTCCGATCATGACCAGTGAAAGTACAGCATACCACCACAATGGGACGGTCTTGAATCGGGACATGAGACGTCCGTGGACGTCTTCCTCCTCCTTACCGAACTTGCGTACCCGCGCCCACAGCTCCTTCCCATGAAAGAGTCCAGTATGAAGGAGCAAAGCGATGATGGTAGCAAAATTTAAACCATAGTTCAGAGCGAATGTGGTGGACAGGAAAAGAGGCGAATATTGTGCATACTTGGCTTGGTCAAACTCAAAATTTGGGGTCAGAATTTTAGACACTTTGTACGTATGGGCAGTGTTGTCGTAGCTTTTCGAGTCGCTAATGGGCAAGTACTTGCCGTACCACATACCACTATAGTGCACGCCCATTGTGGTGATCCAGAAAAATATCACCATACCAATCAGAGTATTCATGTGCGCATGCCACGGGGAGATCAGGGGGCTGAAGTTGAAACCAGAGACCTGTGTCCAGTCAAACGTGATGGGAATGAGGGAAAGCCCGGTCCAACCACCAAAGAGCTGGTTGATGACCGGGTTCTGGGGCTTGATCCAGGTGATGAAAGCGAAGGTACTCAAAAACGGAGCAATGTATCCGGGGAACCAGTACCAGACGAATGATCCGATCATGCAGTACAGAAAGAGGCGGTACTTTCCAATGGTCCATCCAGAGACCTTTCGTGGATCGGGCTTTGAACGATCGTGCAAAGCAGTAAAGAGTGCGGAGTTGATGAGAGTGGAGGGCCAGATCATGGCGGCTGGCGTGACCAGGAACCGATAGAAGAAGCCGGCCATGCCAAAGCCTAGAGTCTGGGTAGATATGCACATCAAAATCTCAAAAGCCCAACTATAACGCTGCTTGTAGAAGGCTCTCTGAGCGAGCAGCACATCCGTCGCATAAGCAGCACCACCAGCAAAGGTAGCATTGGACATGATGACAATAAGAGCATGCTCCTTCTTGCTAAACGGTCCAGGGTTGAGGTTGCAATCGATGCCGAAGAACCTGAACTGCTTGCTGGGCATTACCTTGTACCAAGCCAGCCCCACTGGGAAGGCGACGACCTGGATCACGTACGAAGGGATGATAATGTACGGCTGGCGCATAGAAAACAGCATGTTGAGAGCTGAACCAATGGTGCAGAACACCAAGCCGATAGTCCAGGCGCGGATTGTGTTTGTGTGTCCACCCTCATCGTAGTTTGGAACCGCGGCGCGAACCTCGACGTAGGGCGAATTTTCCATAAGTTCATGGGCAACGCCAGCACGAGTACCCTTGTCGGACGTGTGCAGGGCCTCCTCGAGCTCCTCAGCCACATCGTCAGGGAGATTAGGATCCCACTGATGTTGCTCCTTAATGTGCCTGAGATGCTTCAGGACCTCATCGGGCGCCGTCTCGTCCGCCAGAGAGTTGTCGCTGACGGCGACCGTGGGCTCGATGATCTTCTCCTCCTTCATATTGAGGAGATGATCGAACGGTTGAGGTCGGCGGCAGATAATAGAAGAAATTCTTCAATGCAGGATGTCTGCAATGGATGAGAGAAGGAGTAATAGTGGAGCAGAACCGTCGTGAGAAGGATCCACCTTTGGCTGTTCCATACACGATCGACAGGGGAGAGAATTAGATGATCAGAGAGGGATGAGAGGGGAAGGGAAGGGGAAGGGAAGCAGGAGGAAGATCAGACGCAAAGCAGATGCAGGGGGTCACGTTATATACAGAAGTGAGAGTGGTGCGCGGGCGAGAACCATCACAGACAGGGAACCATCCCCCCAGCAGGTCTCGCTATCACTATCCCAACCAGATATCGGTGCTTAATTCAGGGCCGACGGTAACCCGCCACGTTATCTCTGGTTACTTTCATTTAATATGATTTTAGCCACTCAAAGATCATATCTCAAGGAGGGGGATGGGGCCCGCTGTCCGCCACCGAGATAGTAAGTCATTTGCTCTTGACAGATGTTACCCTGATAGGTAACCAGTTAATAAACGCATGGTCTGATCGATGGTTAGTTCTATGAGGGGGCATTCCAAAGTGATTCTCGACACGTGTGACAACGAAGGACTCGACAATGATAGCTTCCCATTGGAGGAACCCGACCGGTTGGGAGTCTGGGGTTCCATCCTTGAAAGACATGAACCTAGACTGCGAGTTATCGGCGACACAGTCCACGGAGCTATACTAGCGCCCCTGTTGCCATGGCCGCAAAGCGACGCAATCAGAGCTTCTTATTTCTTATTTCTGGAGAGCAGTGTTCCACCGCGCTGGTGACGCCAGACAGACTGACGGGTTAAGCGAGAAATGAGAACGCTCAGAAGCTGTCCAATACTGATGGCAGCGTGTGGGAGCCCTAGTTTCAACTCTGCAATTCATTAGAAGGTTGGAACGACTTCTGATTGCCCCGCCGGGAGTCCGAACCAATGTCCAGGTCGCACAAGGTCTCAGGGATACTCGACGGCGCCTTTACTCGACTAAAGTTGCTTTTTCACATTCGCTCTTTTTCCCATGTTGCCTTCCATTCACTGGCTGTGGGGTAAAAGCCAGGACCGGTCGTAGTCAACATGCCTCTTCCAGACTTGCCGCTTAAGCCCCGATCGACATCAGTGAAGGCAATACTTCTGGGCTATCTTTGATTAGACTCAAACTTAAGCAACAAAAGACAAGACTAAGTGGTCGGGGGCTGGCTGGAGATAAATTCGGCCGGCCATATGTGCCAAATCCGGGGTAGCGTGGTCTTCTGCATCAGACAATGGGCACTGGCTTGCTTCTGAACATTTTCCATACCCACACGACAAAAGATCATGTGGCTTCTGGACAGACGAGATAAAGCGTGGGGAGCACAATCGCTGATTTCGGTGGCAAGATTCACTTATCTGAAGCCCAAGTGTGTCTCAGATATGTCGCTGGGTATGGATTGATGGGATCAGGGGGGGACCCGGAGGAGGATACGGAGGATTGGATTTGGAACAAGACGGATGATAAGCTTGCTGCGGCGCCCCCGCCCGGGACCACCCACGAGGCTTGTCCGTGATAAGCCAGCGATAACCGCCACCAATGATCCTTTGAGCCTTTGAGAAGTGGGAGCGGAGGAACTTGGCTTCAGACGCTGGGAGAATTGGGGCCGCAGCAAATGAGTCCTTGAAAATTCCGACTGTTGTGACCTCCTTCCATATGAATCACGGAATTTATTATGCGATAGCATTACTTACCTTGGGGCCAGTTCTCAGATGGCCACGTACCCGATGTTACTTGACCCTTGGTTTAGCCGAGACAAGGACTACTCCTGATCGTTATGCTGCTTTGTACAATGCTGTTGTTCGGGTGAGACCAATTTCCTTTTTAAGTTTGCAAGCGCGTGTGTGTCAAGGTCCGAGTGGTTTCACACGTTCACGACCCACCATCAAAGTCTAGTTTTAGTTTGATGCAAAAGTGGGCACAAATTCTCGACGACTG